AAGGCTTGGAAACCTGACAGGTATATTGCTAGAAAATACTAGTCGGGGGTTATGAATAATTATTTACTTATTGACTAAACCACTCAGTCAATTCCTGATTTTCGCCATAACAGTGACTTTAACAAAAAAGGTTTGTTAAGTAAATAAAGTGACACAAATCCTAGATACAGCAAGCTATTATGTTGAAAAATCTGTAGGAATCTGCTAAAGGCTGTTATGGAAATAAATTATGCAGATATTATATTGCTAAACGAGGGATATTTAATTATTTAACTGCTGCTGTTTTACAACACAGCTCATGGAGAATAGGAGTAAACTACAGTATGCATGAACATTTGCTGTAAATTGGTCTTTGGTTTAAGCCCCATTGTCAAGACGGAGAAAAACAAGGTTAAGTACAACAGGACAACACAGAGTGGCAGGTCTGAGGCTTCAGGCAGAAATGCGCCTTTTTCTTTAAATTCCTTAACCAGTGGTCCCCCAGCCCTGTTCCTGGGGGAACACTGCAGGTTGTCATTCCAACTGAGATCTAATTCTCGAATTATAATTGATGACTTAATTGATCAGCTTGTTCATTTAGACTGTGTTTCTTCAGTCAGTCCTGAGTGTAAAAAATACCATACTTCAAGGGTCATTTCTAATGACCTCAGCCTCCCCTCAACGTGTTTCTGATTAAATGACTCTTAACCTAGCTGAACAGCCACAGGTGGGAGTAACTCAGTATGTGACACTCCCACAATGAGCATTTCTTCCTTCTGCATTGGTCTAATTGGTTATATTTCAGGCAACACTCCCTGGATAAGGGCTAAGTTATAAAACACAGAAATTCATACTGGGCTGATACCAATTATAAATCCCATTTAGCCTTTTAAAAGCTGAAAGCACATTTACAAATATACACCAAAGAGAAAACAAAAAATCTATATATATGTAATTTTTTTAGCTTTACAGCTTTGATTTCTCCTAATTTGAAGCGTCACTAACAAACTGCCAGCTTTTTTCATCAAGTAAGGTTTGTGATAAAAGAACAATTGATTGGACTGTTTTGAAAATGGAAGTAATTTAAGGTTTTCTTGGAATGAGGAATATTTTGACCCATCACTATTGTATTTATTGACCTTTCATAGATGTAGACTTCAGTTTAATTCCAATAAGTAATAAGCAGCTTAACAGCTACAGATGAAGCTGCAAACCTTCAGGCTTCTGGAGCTAAATGTGGTCAATTCTCTGTCAGGGCAGAAATAAAGGTTTACATTTTGGGAA